GGGGACGCAGCCAGGAAAGAACCCATCCCAAGAGGTCTCTGTGTGTCAGGAGCACTCCAGGATGCACAAACACTGAGCTTGACCAGCTCCCTTGGGGGTTAAAAATCTCAGGAATTGCCTCTTCATTGAGGAGGGCCACAGGGGGATTGGAAGGATGGAACACCTCTCCCTGAGGAAAGGCCCAGAGAAGTGGGATTGTTCAGCCTGGAAAAGAGAAGGCTCTGGGGTGACTTAATTGTGGCCTTCCAGTACCTGAAGGAGATAAAAGAAAGGTGGAAAGAGACTATTTACAATGGCCTGGAGGGACAGGACAAGGGGGAATGGCTTCCCACTGCCAGAGGGCAGGGTTAGATGGGATATTGGGAAGGAAGTCCTGGATGAGAGGGTGGGCAGGCCCTGGCACAGGTTGCCCAGAGAAGCTGTGGCTGCCCCTGGATCCCTGGAAATGTTCCAGGCCAGGTTGGATGGGGTTTGGAGCAACCTGGGCTAGTGGAAGGTGTCCCTGCCCAGGGCAGGGTGTTGGAACTGGATGAGCTTTAAGCTCCCTTCCAACCCAAACCATGCCACGATTGTGGGATTGTTCCACTTCCACCCAAGCCTCGCTGAGCCCCCCAGGCTGATGTCAGTGCCCACCATCAAACACTTACCATGAGGGGTGAAAAAAGCCAGGGATGCTCGTCCAGCTTCCAAGCCACTGAAGTAGCGCTGAGGGCTCGGCTCCCGCCGCAGCCCCGCCATTCCCGGCCTTGGGATGGAGGAAGAGCAGAGGAGCAGGAAAACAAAGGAGGAAACCCATCTGTCCCCTGGGGATGACATGGCTGTTGTCAGCTACAGGCACAGGAGAGTCACAACTGGGGAGAAAATCAAACATATATATATATATATTATACATAAACACATATGTGAGTGTTTCTCTCTTCAGGCAGGTGCAGCACAACCATAATTTGCAACTGTGGAAATTATTATTAATGTGACACAAACATCTCGAGGAACACCATGAATTAGTCACTCCAGCACCACTCAGACAACTGCAAAGAGCCCAGCAAAGGCCATTCTCTTACTTCTGAGTGCTACCTTCAAGTGCACAGACCCTCAGTGCTGTCCCTTTAAGGCTGGGTTCTGTCCCTCCTTTTCACTTCTTCTGAGTCAAACAGAAATTTAATGTACAGGCAGAAAGCAGTGCCAGCATCACACACAAACCCCCACCCAAACTGCTTCAACTCTTGCTGAAGAGCTTTGAGGATGGCAACGGCATCTGTGTGCCCCTGAGAGGTGCTTGCAGAGGGATGGGGCACGTTGAGGTTGACAAAAATCAAATGGCCAAGCTGAGATTCAAGTGTCAGACCTTCTGTTTCTGTGCAAAATGCAAATGGGTACATTCTGCTCCCTGTTTATGGTCAGAACAAAGAGGAATTTTGCAGGTATATTTATAAAGACTCTGTAGCTGAAGTCCTTAACATGAGGATGCGGTGCTGGTGCTTCAAGAACACATGCTCTGGTTTATTTTTTTATAGAATAACTGATTTCTCTCTCGTATTTATAAGGATTTACGTAACTTAAATGGATGCTATTTTTGTAAGTCCTGCTGTTTTCTTCTCTACTCTGCGTTCAGAAGTCCTGATACAATTTAACCTCTCTAGGATTAACAAAAGCAGCAGATTACCCTTGACCTAATCTACATGGAACAATAAATCAGACAAGAATTCTGCAGTATCTTTTCTGCTCCTGGCTGCTGGTTTTGCCACTTCATAGTAGCCACTTTTACTTCCAGGGAGAATCATGGAATGTTAAGGCTTGGAAGGGACCTTAAAGATCATCCATCCCAAACCCCACTGTGTGTATTAGGCATGAATTTCCCTGACCAGATTGATTTTGGTGGAAGGTGCCCCTGCCCATGGCAGGGGGGTGGAACAAGATGGTCTTTAAGGTCCCTCCCGACCCAAACCAATCCGGGATTCTGGGATTCCATTGCTCGCTTCACACCACGCCAAAACACGTGAGGAGGTCAAAGAGCCCTAAGGATGGAAAAACACCTTCTGCCCACTCCAACCCCCTGTTTAACACCAGGCTCCTGCTCCTTGGGTGCTGCTGGAGCGTGGCTGGTCCCTGGCCAGCGAAGGGAAAAAGCTGGAACTGAGGGCATGTTGCTCTGCACCATGAGCTGCTTCCCCCAACAAACACCTCTGCCATTCCCTCCACCACCCTGTCAGATTCTGTCAGCTCCCCGTGGCTGCTCTGGGATGATCCCAAGCTCACAACCAACCAGGGGAAGAGCCTCTGCTGTGCTCTGAGAGCGAGGATTTAGTGACAGCCAGGCACACTCAGACTCGCCAGCTCCTTCTCCCAGAGGTGGGGTGTTGGAATCGGGGCCTGAAGGCACAAGAGAACAAAGACAGAGCTGGAAAGACATCAATTTTTTTTTAGTTTTCATCTCAAAATCTCCAGTTCCCTCCTTTCCAGCTTTGGGCAGTGTCAGGCATTCCTGGTTCTGTGCCCTCCCATCTGTTCCCTGGCTTAGAGAGGGTATAGGGATCAGGGGAGGGGGGGGATGTTTATGAAATGACAAACGTGGCTACAGCAGGATGGAAAAATAAACACAATGCTGGCATGTGGGAACAAGCCCAGGTCAAATGGGAGAGCTTACTGTCAAGGAAGCAAGAGCAGCAGCCTCCAAGGACTCAAAGATGTCATGGCATTATACCTTGAGGAGGGTGACAGCAGCTTAAAACTCAACTCCAGCCTCCTGGGAGACCTCAGAGCCCCTTCCAGGGCCTAAAGGGGCTCCAGGAGAGCTGGAGAGGGACTTGGGACAAGGGCCTGGAGGGACAGGACACAGGGAATGGTTTCCCACTGACAGAGGGCAGGGATAGGTGGGATATTGAAAGGAAACTGGTGAGGCCCTGGCACAGGTTGCCCAGAGAAGCTGTGGCTGCCCCTGGATCCCTGGAAGTGTCCAAGGCCAGGTTGGACGCAGCTTGGAGCAACCTGGGTTAGTGGAAGATGTCCCTACCCATGGCAGGGGCTGGAACAAGATGAGCTTTAAGGTCCCTTCCAACACAAACTATTCTGGGATTCCATGAAAAATGTGTGCTCAGCCCTTCCCCAGCCATGTCCTCTCACCTCCTCATTTCTCCATCCTGCTCAGCAGGTTCCCTCTGTTCCCCATCAATCCAGACCCGAATATTCAGCTTTGAAGCCATTTCCCCTGTCACCTCTTTTCCATCAACAAGAAAACTAACACCATAGGGCTGGAAACAGAGCACTGACACTTGCAGGATTGCCAGAGATGTGTGAAAATGCCATGGATGTGTGAACCAGCTCTGTGTCACTGCTGGGAAACCTGAAGCCCACGGACCAGGGGCAGCACAGCACAGATGGAATGCAAGGCCTGGTTCACGTTTCCACGGTCATCATTCCAAGACAGAGCCAGGTAAGGTGGTCAAGGTCACTGTAGGCGACCTAAAGTGAAACCAAATGCACCAGAGACATCCAGCACAGACTCCTGCGTGGGCACAAATTGCTTGTGCCACATCAGTTGCTTGGGAATCCTGCATTGGAAACCATGGACTGGGATCCTTGAAAAACCTCAGTGATTCCACCTGCTTTCCCTGACACTTTCGTCACACAGACACCAGCTGCAAATATTTATTACTGAGGAAGCTGAGGGTGATGTGGGGTGGGTTTTGAGCCTCCCATAATAAGGAAAAACCACTGTTCTATTGGAACCATGGATTGCAAGGCCGGCTGGGTACCACCCCCATCATCCACGGGCTTCCCTGAGAAGAAACCCTCTTCCCCAGGAGAAACACCTTGGAGAATCAGCTTGGGATGAAATTCCCGACTGGGAAGGTGCTGAGGGTGGGATGTTGAGTGGGGGTGTTGATGTTCCTTCTGAAATGCATTTTAGCCTCAGCTGTGATCATTCTGGGTAGTTTTACTTTTCCCTGATTTGAACGTTCATATTATTATCCCTTAATAGAAAACCATTTGCAAACCAATCAATGCCCAGATTTTTTGCCTCAGGTCATGTTTTGAAGTTGACTCTCAATGGATCACATGAAGGCAAAGAAGTTGCAGGTTTGAGCTGGGAAGCAAACTTCCAAATACTTGATATTCTTGGGTCCTCCCAACTCAGTGACATTGGGAAGTTTGCAACTTCCTTCAGCTCCTTGTGTTGAGGACTGGGAAGCCATGCTTTCCCGAATTTAGGAGGATTAAATGCCAAATCCTTCTGAACCATCCCAGCCAAGGTGTTTTTGTGCTGCAGGTCATGAGTTCCATGAAGACATCGTGGTAGGAAGGAGCCCCAGCTTCTGCCTTGGCAGGGATGCCAAGCCTTGCCCCCAGTGGCTGCAGCTGCTCCTGCCAACAGCCCTGCAGGAGCGCAGACATCGGTGCCCGTGGGCTTTGGCCGCCCTCTGGCAGGGAAGTCCCCGGGCCGGGCTGGGGGAGGCCCCAGGGCCCGTGGCCGTGTGTCACAGGGCCCTTTGTGACACGGTGGCTGGGACGGGCACGGTGTCCAAGGGCCCTCTGTGACACGTGGGGATAAAGGTGTTGGCGTCAACGCGGCCACGCCACAGCGCTCGGAGCGCGCGACTGGGCAGGACGGGACAGAGCGGTGCTGTGAGGAGTCTCCTCGCAGCCAACTCAGTCTTTGCCGACCAGAAGCTTTTCCGAGAGCACTCTTTGAAAGAAGATCCCTCGAGGCCAGTCCACAGGAGTTGGTGACCCGGAGCGTTTCCGAGCCATCCCCACTCCCTGTGGGAGTGGCCCTCGAGGCCAGGCCACGGGCCTTGGTGCCCCGGAGCTTTTCCGAGGAGTCACCAGTGCCTGTGGCAGTGGCCCTTGAGGCCATTTGTTGAGACTTTGCCACCAGGGACGTTTCCAAGCCATCAGCAGTCCCTGTGGCAGGAGCCCCTGAGGCCACTGAGTCACACTTGGCCACCAGGGGTTTTTCCCAGGCATCTCTCCCGCAGCTGCCCTCGAGGCCAGACTGTGCCATGGCGGGGGGATGCTTCGGCCTGTGCGGGCTGCTCCGGAGGCAGAGGAAGAACAGGAGAGGCCCTGGAGCTGGCCTAGCACAGGAACCCGAGGAGGAGGTGCAGCACTTCCAGCCACTGCAGCAGGGTGAGTGCTGCAGCTGCCCACAGGGATGGGGCTGCAGGAGCTGGGCCCCTTCCCGTCCCCTCTGGACATGGCCAGGGAAAGGGAGGGGGAAGAGGGGCCAAGGCTGATCCCCCCGGCATCCGTGCTCCATCCCCTGGGCATCCCAGGGCTGGCCCTGCCTGTGGAGCGCAGGGCTGGGCTGTGTTCTCTGGGCTCTCCCGCAGCCCCTCAGCTCTGACTGCGCTCGCTCTTTGCCAGATCCAGGCCGGGACCGCCCAGCAGAGCAGGACCGCGCCCGTGGCCGCTTCCGCAGGGCAGTTCAGGTACCTGCAGCCATCCCCCCTGGGCTGGGACTGCTGTCCCTGCTCCGCCTGGCACCGCTGTCACAGCACTCCATGTGACTTCCCTCTCCTCCCTGCCCCTTCTTCTCCTGCAGAGGTTGCTGAAATTCGTGGGAGTTCGGCGCAGAACGGCCACGACTGCACCGCCCGAGCTCGTGGCACAGCCTGAGACCAACGCTGCCGAGCTCGAGGCACAGCCTGTTGTCAGCTCTGCACTGAGTGACTGTGCAGCCAGTGGTGACATGGCACCCATGGACTGTGCAGCCAGTGGTGACATGGAACTGGATGATGGCACAGAAACCTCAGACAGGGCACCGATTGATGGCACAGCAACCTCGGACATGGCTGAAATTGGTGGCACAGAAACCATCGACATGGCAGCCACTGATTCCACAGCCAACTGTGACACGGCACCAACTGGTGACGCAGCCACCTCTGACACGGCACCAGTCGATGGCACCAACACCTGTGACACGGCACTGATGGATGGCACAGAAACTAATGACACGGCACCGATGGATGATGGCACAGCCACCTCTGACACCGCGCTGGCCGACACAGAGACAAGCTCTGACACCGCTCCCACTGATGTCAGGGCTGAGGCTGACGCCACGACTGAGGGCATTGGAAACACTGACTGCACACCCATGCAGAGTGTGACTGATGCTCCCAGTCTGGATCTTTGGGAGCAGAAAGGTGTCTCCAATCCAAATGAAGTAAGCACCCTGTGGCCAGGGCTCTTATGGCCCCCCCAAGCCAGCTCTGCTGGGCCCCCTGAGCCATTGAGGGAAACCTGCTGGCTCTGGCAGCTCTCCAAGTGTCCCCCTCTCCCCTCCAGGTGCCAGCCATCGTCAGCTCCATCCACCAGTGGCTCAGGTGCTGGTTGTCTGCACAGGTCAGGTCGTCCATTGCCATCCGCAGGCTGGCCCAGGCACACCCTGGGCAGGTGGTGACGACTCTCCTGCGCTGTGCCCCAGCGTGTGACAGGTACAGGGCCCAGCTGCTTGGCTGGCTCAGGGCTCACCAGCTCTTAGGACCCATCACCCTTGTCAAGCCTGTCCCTCCTGGTCTGCCAGACAGGTGGACAGTTGCAGGACCCTCTGGCCCCTCCAGTTCCCAGCCCAGGCCTGTCAGCCCCCAATCCTGCTGCCATGAGCCCTCCCTGCCACTCAAGGCACCCTGGCTCTGTCACCTGGGCCCCCACAGCTGCCATGGCCCAAACCCCCTGACCCAGAGCTCTGGCTCCACAGAGCTGCTGCAATCCTGTGGAGGACCATCGCCTCCTCGGCCACCACAGTGCAGAAGGTGCTGCCAACGCTGCTCGGGGTAATGGAGGACAGCGTGTTCAGCTCTGATGGCAACGACACCGACATCTGTGCCCTGGCTGTGAGTTTCTGGAACTCCTCACGTCTCTCCATCCTCCCCCATTGCTGCATCTCCCTCAGGCCTTGGGCTGCAAATGTGGCTGAGGGGCAGGGTCAGGGGTAGCAGGCCAGCTGCTCCCCCTGGGTCTCCCTGGCCTCTGCCTCCCTCTGGGCACTGATGGTGTCTCCGTGTGGGTTTATTGCAGGCAACCCTGGCACTGTGGCTGATGGTCCAGGAGCCCCAGTGCCAAGATGCCCTGTTGGTCCATGCCCCTCGTCTCCTGGTGGCTCTGCTCTGCCAGCTGTGCATGAGCACAGAGCAGATGCCACAGGAGGTCAGCACCTTCTGGAGGGGATGCCAGGAGCAGCACGGCCTTCCCACCCACCCCAACAGGTGCTCCATGCCCGTCCCCTCTCCCTGCCATGGCCTCAGGGCTGGGGCCAGGGCTCCCAGCATGACGTGGCCTTTGCTCTGCACACAGCTTTGTGGTCCAGACCATCAAGGCCCTGCTCTGCCAGCTGCAGTGGGACCAGGAGCTGGTGTCAGTGGAGCGCAAGCGTGGCTGGGACGCGCTCCTCTTTGCTGACACGCAGCACTACGCAGTGGGGCTGCTGGCCAGGTGAGACACCCTTGTCCCCGCTGCCCCCGGCACCTCTGCTCTGGGCACGGGGCAGCCCACAAAGGCCCCATGGGGCAGAAGGCCTTGGCCCCAAGGGGTGGCCGAGCCAGTCCTGGCAGAGCTTTGCCCACCTGACTCAGGGCCGGGGGTTCCCTTTTTCCCCTGACAGGGAGATGCGCCGCGTGTTGGTCCCCTCCTACGGCCCGCTGGCGAGGCACCTGCTGGGGCTGCTCAGCAGGGAGGGGCCCCGCTGGGAGCTGCCTGCCCTGGCCTTGCTTGTGGAGGTGAGCCTGCTGGGAGCGCTGCCTGGCCCGGCTGCCTCCCCCTCTCTGCCCTCGGGCAGCCGCAGCTGCCGGGACGGTGCCTGCGCCCTGTGCTGCTGCCTGGGCACAGCCCTGGGCGGCTCCGGCTCCTGCTGCCCGGGCACCCCGGCACTGCTCTCTGCCTTCCAGCTCCTGGACTACCTGGACGTGAGCACCTGCCATGACAGTGTCCTGCGGATCCTGGCAAGGCACCTGCAGAGCCAGTGCCCAGAGAGGCGGCGCCTGGCTCTGCGAGAGCTGCTGGTGCTCAGCGTGGATCCCTCCATGGTGAGAAGGGGGCAGGGGCTGAAGCCACACGGGCAGCCTGGGGCTGGGCAAGGCAGTTGGGGTTGCAGTGCCAGGGTGGTGGTGGTGGGGCAGCTCTTCAAGGCTTCACAGCACAGCCTTGTGTTCCACACAGGCCAAAAGCATCTGCAGCCTCTCTGAGCACCTCCTGGAGCTGCTGCGTGATGGAGATGGAGAGCTGGTCAGGATGACCCTCTCCATTTTCCGGAATGTGCTCCAGGATGACGAAGACAGGGAGGGATTCAGCCCCACTGCCCCAAGGCTGGCTGAGGCGCTCCGGCCAGTCTTTGACCACGTAAGGCTCTGTGCCCCCAGCCACAGGCGCTGGGTGCTGCCAGGAAACCTGGGGGAGATTCAGGCCTGGGCCTGGTGGGCCTGGAGCAGGCAGTGCTGAGGTGTTTTCTCTTCTTTGGCCCCAGGACAACAGCCACGTGCAGCTGCTCTCCATTCGCCTCTTCCGAGAGGTGATGGAGTTGGTGGCGGAAGAGGGAACGTGGCTCTGGGAGATGCAGGCGTGGCAGAGCCTGGTCCCCCTGTTCTTCCGCTGGCAGGACGAGAACCAGCGCGTGGCAGAGGTGAGCACTGGTGGGCTCTGGTGTCCCCGGGGCAGGGGCTGGGCTGCCTCCTGCCCTGGGGCCTCAAGGGCTCCATCCTCCTGCCGGCCTCGGTGCAGGGACGCAGGTGCTGTGCCCTGGGCTGTGGTGCCATGTGCCGCTCTCTGCTGCTCTGCAGGCCGCTCGGGAAGCGCTGCTCTGGGCTGCAAGGTTCCTGCAGAGGAGGGACCTGGAGCAGCTGGTGAAGACCGAGCAGCACTTTGGGTTCTGCGACTGCCTGGTAAGGACGAGCCCAGGCTGGAGAAGCCCCAGCCCCTGATGCGCAGTGTGCGGGGCTGGCCCTGTGCCCCCGGCACTGCTGCCCCCACAGACACCCCCTGCTCTCTGCAGATGGAGAAGGAGCTGAGCCGAAGGGGCGAGCACCTGCGCCAGGCCCTGCCCTTCCTGCAGAGCCCCCAGGAGCCCCTGCGAGAGGCGGCCGTCAGGTTCATGGGTGAGCCCCAAGGCCGCGGTCCCTCCCGCCCCGCTGCAGCTCGGCCCCAGCCACAGGGGCCATATGGCCAGGCTGGCAGCGCCGCTGGGGGGGAGCTGGGACACCGCTGGGGCCCTGACAGCCTCTGTGTTCCCAGGGGTCGCCGGCTGGCACATGAGGGAGCAGCAGGAAGACCTGTGGCCCATCCTCAAGGGTGAGTGAGGGCAGCGGGGCCTCCCTGGGGGCTGCGGGGCAGGAGCACAGACCCTGGGCAGGGAGCTGCAATCCCCGCCCCGCCCGCACAGGGCTCTGCTCCCTGCACGGCGTGCCCAGAGCACACACACACTGCAGGGGCACCTTCCCGCTCCTCCTCTTGGCCCCTGCTCCCTCCTGGCCGTGCCAAGAGCTGCTGGCATGGCCCTGGCACCAGGGGCTCCTCGGGTCCCCGCACAGCCACGCTCTGACCCCGGCTCCCTTCCTCTCTCTTCCAGCCCTCGAAGCCATGAGCGAGGACGACTGCCCCTCCACCTCCAACTTGAGGAATGCACTCATGGCCACCTACAGGAGTGCAGTCAGAGCTCCACGTGCTCCGCTGAGGCGACCAATGTCCCTGCAACCACTCGGGACGACAGCCCAGGGACCACTTCCCAGCGCAGCTGCAGCTCCAGCTGATGCTGGGCCCAACTGAGCCAGCCGGCAAGGCCAGGCAGCTCCTGGCTCTGCAGCCCCATGGACGGCTCCCTCCCTTCCCTTCCCTTCTCCTGACCCCACTTCATCCCTCCCCTTCCCCTGACAATAATAAACCTTGTCTTTTTCTTCTTATCTGCATCTTGGTACAACTGAAAGGGCACAAACCCTCAGCCCTGCAGCTCACGGGCCCCTCCTGCCTTTCTTTTGCCCCTTGCACTGTGGGCACACACCCAGAGGGACACGGGCACTTCAGGCTGCAAAGGGGCCTGTCCTGAAGGGCCACTTGCACAGCACTGTGCACTCCAAGATCTTGCTGAAGGCTGTGCTGGTGTTTCCCAAGAAAACCCAAGATTTGGTCATCCCTGGGGAGGCAAGGGGCTTCCTTCTCAAGGAAAGTGCTTTCCAAAGAGTTCCCGGCAAGGGAGGCACAAATTTTTCCCTCTGGCTCTCTGTGGCCCTTTCACTCCTTGTGTCACTTTGCAGAGGGGCAGGGCAAGGGGCACTCCTCAGCCTGTGGGGCAAAGCCACGCTGGGGCAGCTCAGGAACTGCAAGCACAGCTGGCACTGCGTGTCCCCTGAGAACAGAGCTCCTCTCCCAGCCTCTGCCCCCCTGACTGCCAGTGCAAATCCAAGAGATGTGCTGGAATCAGGGATGAGGTTGCCTACAGGGGTGGCTGTGGGAGCATCTTGCAGCAAAGGGATCCTTCTCTGGGGAACATCCAAGCACATCCCAGCCACTGGACTTTTCCTCACTGATTTTTTAATGATGCTCCCACGCTGCCCCTTCTCCTGCCACTTCCCAGAGAGTTTCACTTTCATTTTCACTTCCAGATCCCACTGCCCAGCACCCAGGAGCCCCACTGGCTCTAGTTAGCCAAGGCTGCAGGAGGGATGTGCTGCAGCCCTTCCGTCTGTCCAGCAGTGCTCCCATTGCTGCCAACAGCAGACAGCCTGCAGCATGGAATCATGGAATCATTAACACTGGGAAAGACCTCGGAGACCATCAAGTCCAACCACTCCCCCAGCACTGCCAAGCCCACCACTCAACTGTGCCCCCATCTGCCACATCCACACGTTTCCTGAACACTTCCAGGGATGATGAGTCCACCACTTCCCTGACACAGTCACCACCTGCCGGAATCACCATCTGCTGCATTTCCACCACTTCCCTGGTGGAATCAGCATCACCCACTGCTGCTGCCCCACTGCCCCATTTACTCTGTCCTTGGGGACCGGCCCCAAAAAGTCCCTGGAAAGCAGCTGGCACTGGACACACATCACGGAGCTACCTCTGAGACGGCTTAAGGGATGTCACCTACCAGGTGTCCTGAGCATCCAGGTGACACCCTCATCCCTCCACCGCGGCTGCCAGGAAAGCAGCCCGGGTCCAGCTCTCCCTGCGGTCGGTGGCTTGGCCGCACGGCTGGAAAACCTGGGGATGCCAAACCCATCGGTGTTGGGGCTGTGCCAGCCCGGCGCTGGGATCCCCGATATCCCGGGGATACCTCTCGGCATCCAGGGGGTGTCCGCCCTGAGCCGGGACCTCCGAGCGGCGGGGTCCCTGCTGGGGATCCCGGAGGGACGGAACAGGGATGGACACCCCCCACAGTACCACAGACCCGACCTGCAGTGGGGGATGTCCCCGCACCGCCCTCAGCCCGCGGGGGTGCCCAGATCCCCCCCCAGACAGCTCCGGGGGCACCTCGGCGATGCCCGCACCGCGCCCCTCACCCCTCGCTCCCCTCACGGCTCCTCTCACCCCTGTCCCGCCCCTCACTCCCCTCACCGCCCCTCTCTCCCCCCGCTCCCTCCCTCTCCCCTCAGTGCCCCCTCACCCCTCTCACCCCTCTCTCCTCCGCCGCCCCTCCGGGAGAGCGGGATCGATGACGGGCGGGCGTCACCAACCCAAGAAGCAAAGCGGCGGCCCCGCGGGGGCGGCCCGCAGGTGATTGACGGGCGGCTCCGACCAACCGGCGCTGCGGGCGGGCGGGGGGGCGTGCCCGTCGGGCGGCCAATGGGCAGCGCGCGCCGCCGCCCCTCAAATCAGCGGGCTCGGCCCGGCAGAGAGAGTTGTTTGGCGGCGGGCGGGCGGGCGGCGCAGCTGGGCGGGCGGGAGGAGAAGGAGGAGCAGGAGTGTGTGTGTGGTGGTGGGGGAGGCTCCCCTTTGTTCATGGGGGTGTCCAGCCGGGGCTGAGGGAAGGCACGGAGGGGGTCGGTGCCTCCCGCTGCCCCATGGCCGTCGCCGAGGGGGCGGCCGTGCCCTACGCCGTGGAGCTGGGGCTCACCGTGCTCCACACGGCGCTCTACGCCGCGCTCTTCCTCTTCGCCTACCTGCAGCTCTGGCTGCTGCTCTGCTACCGCGAGCGGCGGCTGAGCTACCACACGCTCTGCCTCTTCCTCTGCCTGCTCTGGGCAGCCCTCAGGACCACGCTGTTCTCCTTCTACCTGCAGAATTCCCTGCAGGCCCTCCGCCTCCAGCAGCCCTTCGCCCACTGGCTCCTGTACTGCCTGCCCGGCTGCCTCCTCTTCTCCAGCCTCTGCCTCCTCAACCTCTACTTCGCCGAGGTAAGTTTTTTTGCTTCGGGCAGGAGAAGCCTCCCGAATTTCCCCCCCTCGCAAAGCCCCCCGTCCCGCGGGACACCGGGGTTGGAACCTCCTCTTCGGCCACCTCTCCGAAGTTGGAGTGCCCCGGGGCCGGGGCTTTGGGCTGGGATGGAGGTGCGACCGTCCAGGTGAGGGTGGGAGGGAATGCCGGGGGTCTGCCCTCAGCGTTGGCTTTGGGAAAAGCTGGAGGGATGCAGGGATGTGCCCTGAATCCAGCCCTTAGTAACAGACTTCCGTACAGGCTGGTAGGATGCAGGCTTGGGGGGAGGCACAGGGATTGTGTACTGAATCCAGCCTTAGGTGGAGGGGGGGGGAAGGGATTTGGGGGGGATGGTGTGAGCGAAAAGCGTGCCCTGAATCCCAGCATCAGGGGGTTTGGGTGCAGGGCTGTGCCCTGACTGCAGACCCCGGGGAGGGAGCGGGGGGATGGTGGTGGAAAGAGGCTCATGCCCTGAATTTGGGATTTGGGGGTGAGGGGGTATGCCCTGCTCCCAGGTGGGATTTTCCTCTTTGCAACCCAGAGTCATTGCGGGGTAGGGGGGAATCACTTAAGGGGGGGGGGGGACTGCTTTGCATCTTTTTTTTAATTGATTCCCGTTCTCCAAAGGGGACCAGAAAGTGGCAGCAGCAGGGGCTGCTCTGGCCTGGAGTGATGCCAACCATTACGTCACCAGCCAGAGCCTCTTCTGCTATTGTTGCTGCGCTCCCTCCTTCTCTCCATCGCTCCGCTGCGAACTGGGCTTGTTGTTCTGCAGCTTGTTGTCAGACAAAAAAAAAGGAAAAAAAACCAAACCAAAACCCTGAGGTCCCTCAGACAACAGCCTGGGGTAGGACAGGGGGGCCCCTTGCCAGCAAAACCATCGCTGCTGGGACAGCGCGGAGCTGCTTGTTGTTGTCACCGAGTGTATCCCTCCTTTTCTGGGCTTCCCATCACTTGTGTCGTGATTTTTTTACCCTCCTTTCCCCGAGTCCACTTGTCTTTATCTCTCAAAGCCTCCTCTCTCCCTTCCCCTCCCCTCCTCTGAATATTTTGTTTCTGCTCCAGTTTCTCCCGAGCAGCCCTTTTTGCTCGCCTGCCCTCCCCGGCTTGGTGACTCGTTTCGTAAATAGGCAGCACTTTTTTTTTTTCCTTCCAGCTTTGTTGTTTGTTGTTTTGTGGGGATTCTTTGCTCTGCAGCTCTCAGCTGTTCCCCAGCCCTCACAAAGGAATCGCTAGCACACAGCGAAATCGCTCCGTCGCTCCGATGTGTCACCCAGGGGAGTTATGATTTCATTTTCCCGAGGACATCAGCGCTCACATGACGATGGGGAGACTTGGAGCAGTTGGGTTGTTCAGCTTTTCTCGGTTCTTTCCCCCCCCTCCTTTCCTTGCTCCTGGAATAAACACCTGGGAGCCGGGGGCGAGCTGCCTGTTGCCAAAGCTGTCGGTGCTGGATGTGGTGCTGGTTGAGTGGCAGCAGGATAACAAATGGTGCAGAGTGTGCATAATCCATCTTGTCTGTTAAAGGCAGCCTGACCTACCAATTGCTCCAGCCAGGAGGGGTTTGTGTCCCTTGAAAAGCAGGGATCCTGTGCTCTGTTCCACAGAGTGGCTGCATTTCTGTTTTCCCTCTCGGTCGCTGGACTCAACAGCGGATTTGCCTCTCTCCAGGCTTGTTTAAAGGTTCCCTGAAAGTAAATCCAAATAGATTCCCAGGCTTCCCTTCCTCCCACGATATCTGTTTTTTTCCAGTGAACTCTGCATACATCCCATTTCTTTCTCCTTGAAAACCTAGAGCCAAGGGAAATCCTGCCTGAGGAAATAAGAGCTCAGAATCTGGAGTGGGGAAGGATAAAGTGACTTGTGAAAGTGGGTCTGCACGCTGGGCTCCAGGGAGGGTCTGACACTTCCCTGCACTCTGTGGTGCTTTTGGGTGATCTCACAGTGGTGGTAGTGAAGCTCCAGAGGTCTGGAGAAAGAGTGGAGCTGGATTTGTGGTGCTTTTCTGGCTCCCATCTCGAGATCTAGACAAGACTGGTGTGTTTAGCGATGTGACTTCCAGCAGAACGTGCCCATCCATTCCCGGTTTTTGAGGGCTGATGGGTAGCAATTAGAAGGACCTGCAGAAGGACCCTGGGCTGCTTCTGCTCTGGGGATGGGATCCTGATCCGAGATGTCCTCGGATAAAAGCACAGGCTGCTGCTGTGCTGAGGGCCTGGCTCATTGTCTCTGTACACAGTGCCTCCTTTGTGGAGATGCTGGAGAAATGGCATCAGTGGAAGAAAACGTGGCCTGTGCTGTCATTTGAGCTGATCCTGCTTGATTTACGGAGCTCCTCGGGCTGTGGAGAAGCTGAGCATGAAATGGTGATGGGGAAGAAGCTCCAGGGAACAGATGCCCATGGAGAACTGGCA